AAAATGTCTGGAAGCAATACAAACAGACTTTCCTGGGTTGTATTTCAGACAAGTGGGACAGTGAGGTAGGCACTTTTTGTGGCCTTATTAATGTTCCCTGCCAATATTGATTTATGAAGGCTATCATTTTGTCAGTAAACCAATGGTTTAATGTGTGTACAGTGAAGAGAAGTGGGAATTATAGAGTCTCCAGTAGGATTGGGTTGTTATTTGGTCCAAGCCAGAGCTTTTTCTTTTTATCAAACCAATAATTGTTGAATTTCCAATCCTGTTTTTCCTTTTCTGAGGCTAATCGTTGGGCTTCTCTTACCAGGTTTTGTAAGTTATCATTTTGGGAAATATCCCTTTAGACTATGACGGATTTTTGGCTGTTGTTGGTTCCTTTAGGGACAACCTTCCTTGTGGAAATGTCAGAAGGTGAGTCCCCTTAGCTTCCAGAGAGCTGAGTTGGAATGCCCCAGAATCTTAATAATAGCTAACACAGCAAGTATTGCATCCAGTGACCCCTTGAACATGGGAACATTTTTAATTCTATTTCCACTGGAAGTAAGGAAGTTGCATTGCTTCCACAATATTCTGAAGTCATTAGCTAATCTGAAAGCATGTCTACTATCAGCATAAATACTGGCAGATTTGCACTTGGCTAAAGCACAAGCCTGTATAAGAGTATGTAACTCAGTGTGCTGGGCAGAAGTATCCACAGGTAAAGATGCTGCCTTTTGATGCTGACATCAAAAGGAGTTGCAGTAGCAAATACAGCACAGTATTTGCCATTGTCACTTTGTAAATAAAAGCCATCAGTGAACCATGAGAAGTCAGAGTATGAAATGTCCTGCAGGTCATTATGAGGAGTCAGGAAGGAATCCATCGGTGTTAAGCAGTTGTGAAGGACTTCATTGGTGACCGAGGGCAGAAGACTAGCAGAGTCAAGGTTAGTGTAAAAGAGTTATACGAGGAGCAGTTAACAAAAGAAGTTTACAGGAGAAGGGGGCTGATTGAGAAATGTTGAGTGTGATGAGAGTTCAGTAGTTTAAACTGCACGAGTTACCAAAATGGCTAAAGGGGATCCCAAAACAATTTAGGCAGTGACCCTAATGGCTTAAGGCAAGGTGAATACTCTCTTGCCACTGGGTCCAGTTGCCAGCTATAATACCCCCAGGGTTAGTGACAGTCCTACGTTTTTGGGTGAGTCTCCAAAAGGCATTCCTTTCATTTTCATATACAGAATGGAAAATGGGAATAATTGAAAAGACCAAGAGCAGGTAGGTTCATCAAACACTCCTTGAAAGAGTTGAAAGGCTTTGAATGCTATGTCATCCAGGTCTTCCTATAAAAAACAGATCAAGGTTGTTATTGTTTAGTAAAACCTACCAAAGTTTGCCATAAAAAGAGAAATATGGAATCCAGTTTCGGTGATAACCAGCTAGTGAGAAAACCTTGCCGGTGACACTTAATTTGGGGTTTTGGAAAACTTATGATGCTATGACTTCTATCTGGACCTAGGTATGGTCCTCCTTCTAATAGCAGATGCTCTAAATATCAAAACTGGGTTTCAGCAAACTGCAATTTTTCCTTGAGGATCTTTTGTCCCTTTAAGGCTAACAGCTTTAGCAAGTGGATGCTATCTTTCTGTGAGGAGGTTTGAGAATGACAGTGAAGAAGCAAATCATCCATATAGTGTAACCAAATAGAAGCCCTAGGGAACTTTGTATCATTCAAATCAGTGTTCAATATTTGTGAAAAGTAAGAGGACTCTCAGCAAAGCACTGGCATATTACTGTCCAGGTGAACCATTCTTCCCAAGTAAAGGCAAAAGATATTGGCTAGTTTCACCCACAAATTGGAATACTAAACAATGCACTGCATAAATAACTAGAGTAAAGCATTTACTTCCAGTTAGAATGGATGTTAGTGACACATGAGGCTTAGCGGAAAGAGAGTGTCAATGGATAACAATGTTTACAGCTTGAAGGTCCTGGACAAAACTTCACCCTCAGCCCTTGGGTTTTTTCCCACCAGCACAATAGGTGTATTACAGAGACCAGTACAAAGGATAATGAATCCTTGAACTTATAATCTTCTATTACGGGTTTTGGAAAACTTATGACACCATGACATAATCTTCTATTATAGCTTATGTTTTTTACGTACAAGGTGTTCATTAATTCTGGCGAGAGATTTTGAGGGATCTATTCAAATCTTGACAGGAGGTGCACTGTGCATTTTGTTAATATCAGTTGGAGATTTTTCTTATAAGAAAAGTAGTAGCTGATTGAATAGGAACAAAGCAAATCTGCTTTGAATATAAAAATTTGCTTTTTGAATATAAAAACAGACAACAGCCAGACTACATATAAACTCTGGCTTATTACCTGAAACAACCAACCCAGGAAGCCAACCCTTTATCTGTAGTAACTGGCCCAGGAAGCAAGTCTGCTATTACCACTCTCTCTAGTAATAATCTAGGACATCAAATAATAACCCAAAATAGCTAGGACAGGATTAATAACTGATAGCTTCCCTAATTTTGTCTCCATTTCCAACTTAGGACCAATCAGGGAGACACAAATATGTGCTCCTAGCCAATCACAGTGGACACTCTTCTTATAGTTACCTTGCCTACAGCTTCCCCATGCCAACAGCTCCCAATCAGGGCATAATTTCCTCCAATTAAAAAACAAAACAAAAAGAGTGTTAAATTATCATGCAGATATGTGACAACTCAGAGAACTCACCTTCTATTTCCCAACAGCTATGTAGCCTGTTTGCATGCCCAGGCCTTTCCATTTAGAGAAAAAGACACTAATGAGATGCAATTAGTATCTTTTACAAATTATTTTCAAATTATCTCTTTATTTAAATCTAGTAAATTCTGAGTCCCTCTTACCCTTCTAAAATTTTACCTCATCTGTACAAGACCTGACAAAAATTTCTTGACCTTTCTGACATAACACATGTTGTTCTGTATTTTGAAATCTCTTGGTATGTCAATAGAAGCCGGGAGAGAGAGTTGGATACTTGCTATTGTCATTCATTTTCCTGTTCAGTTTCATGTGATTTTATTTCCAAATTTAAGAATTAGGAAATATATGGTTACAGAATTATCTTAAATAATATTCGAAGTAGACACTGTTTTGATTAAGAAAAAAATAAATAACTGCCAATACAGTAAGTGAAGTGAAGTGAAAGTCACTCAGTCATGTCTGACTCTTTGTGATCTCATGGACTATAGAGTCCATGGAATTCTCTAGGCCAAAATACTGGAGTAGGTAGCCATTCCCTTCTCCAGGGGATCTTCCCAACCCAGGAATCAAACCCAGGTCTCCCGCACTGCAAGCGGATTCTTTACTAGCTGAGCCACAAGGGAAGCCCACGAAACAGTAAAGAAGTTAAAAACAATTAATTAAATCATAGTTCAAAAATAAAGAAAAATAAAAACTTACAATGAGGCATAAAGATTAGAGAATAAGATAAACAATGGAAACAAACATGTAAATTACATCAACAAATAAAAATCAGTTGAACTCCTTGATTTAATTTCATAAATATTTATTGAAATCTTAGTATATGCCAGGTTTCGTTAGGTCCAAAGAGGTTAGTAGTAAACATGATAGACATAGGACCTCCACACATAAAATTCAGTTTAGTAGAGAACATATTATATACAAGTGATGTGTGTCATCAAAACAGATGCTCAGGGTGAATTAAGCACCTATCAAGGATTTTCTAAAGAGGTTGGGAAAATCCTTGAACACCTTATCACACACCTATGTTCTTCCTCATCATTACTGGTCAGCTATGCAACATCATATTTGATACTGAAATACTAGAAAGGAACCCTTTTAATATAATAAATAAGACAAAGATGACTACTATAATATTTTTATATATGTTCTCACCAAGACAAAAGGTACAAAAAACAATTCAATACTAGTATGAGAAAAAGCAAATAGATGAAGCATTACTTATTTCAAAGAATTTTAAAAAGATGAAAAGCTTCACAAGCATTAACTCAATCTTAATACATATTTTAGGGAATATACTGTATTTCAAGGACTACATAAAAAATAGACATAAAATGGTGAACAATAAGTTTTCATTCTAGTGAGTGAAGACAGACAAGAAATGATTGGTTTATATTATGGTGAAGATCAATATAAAAAGTAAAAATAAAGTTTCATGGTAATAAGAAAGCCAACTAAACCCTTCAGTTGTAAGTGGATCAGGAAAAGTCTTCCCAGAAGATTTTAGAGCCCTATAAAGCAAAAATGTATAAATGGAAAGATCATTCTGGACACCAGAATTGTTGATTTGGAAATGTAGCAGGCTTGCTTCCCACTGTAAAGAAATTAATGTGGCTGAGACTGGAAAAGAGAAAGAAATCAGTCTTGAAAATTATCAAGACTCAATCACAGAAGGAATTAAGACTTTCCTAAGGGAACAATGGGCAAAGAAAAAGGGTTACAAACAGTGAAATGGTATCATCAACTTTGATCTCAGAAATACGTTCAAAAGTTAAAATGCATGTTTAGGAGTTATTTCAGTAATCCAGCTGACAAATCTGTGACCACAACTAGAACAGTGGCAATAGGGTTGGAGAAAAAAGCTAGATTCTATAGAGAATAAGGTCATGGAACTCACAGACTTGGAGGGGGACGGGCAATGAGAAAACAGACTCCATGACAGATGGGGAAACATCCACTAGAACAGGGAACACAGGACAAAGGACTGTAATGTGCAGATGCCAAGTGTAAAGGTAAAGATGATAAATTCTGGGTTGGCTTTGTTGAGTTTAAGATGCCTGTACAATGGTTCAACTGGAATGTATGATATGCAATCCAGTGATTAGAAAGAAGTAGAGTGGAGAGGCAGAATTGTGAGTCATCAGTGTATGCAAGAGAAACTAATTCTAGATCTTTCGGATAGGTATAATTATTTAAGGTAGTAGGTAAGACAATTCCCTTCTCTTCCCGCTACTAGTAGACTCAGTGGAACAGAAACAATTTTTAAACATTTTTATTAACTCATTTATGTTGTATAAGTAGAAGTGATGAGCAGGTGACTTTACAGCCTATAATTGAAATATTGGTACAGTTAGCATGAGGTAGGGTTATCTGTACCAGTTGGTTATTCTTTTCTGAGATTTGCTGAGGTTGAATAAATTGTTGCATTTAAGAGTGTGGGATCTTACCATAGAAGAACTTTCTCTAGGAACACATGACTGAAAAGATTCCTTCCTATATGTATTAACTGTTAAACATGATCTGAATTTTCTTTAGAGATAGGGAACCAGATTAGCATAAATTGTTTTAAGGATATTGTCACTATTATGCCTTATGAGGAAGGAGGATAACAGTGAGTTGGATACTGTTCAAGGCAAGACAAATGAGATATTTATGGTCTGTGGTCAATTATTATTAATTCATTTAACAATTATTTTCTAGTGGCTACTGTAAGCCAGGCACGTGGTTAAAAACATAGGATTCCATTTTGGGCTTCTAGAAGCTCACAGTCTATTATTTAAGACTATTATTAGTCTATTATTTAAGACTATTAATAAGTCTATTATTTAAGGCTCTTCAAAAATAAACTTAAAAGTAATAGTTCCCCTTAACTAATTGCTTCATCAGCTGAAATATAGAGGCACACTTAGTTAATACTAAGAATTTTAATAAGCATGATAGGAAATCAAACTAATGTCAAAGAACTAAGAGGTCAACTGCCTTCAAAGAAACAAAAAGTTAATTTAATCAAGATTTCTCTCATTTTGAAACTTTGTCTGGAAAATTCTGAACACTGTCTTGGGCCCCTTTCTCCTTTTAACTGTGGTGCTATTCCTCATAGGCCTTGCTTTGGGAGATGGTGATTGACTTGGACGCGGTTTTCCAGGAAGTGGCTGGTGATTTTTACTACATATAAACTCAAGCCAGGAGACCCCTGGAGGCAACCGGTGGTAACTAAGTAACTTCGTGACCACACAGTCTGAGACGGCAGACCCTTTTGGAGGAGGAGGAGGGGGTAAGGGGGCTATGGTGGAAGAGGAAAAGGAGGAGGAAGATGAAGAGGATGAGGAGGACAAAGACGTGGAGGAGGCAGAGGACGGGAGCACGGGCTGGAACTGCGGGCTACTGTTTCTCTTCACATAGAGCAGCCAGTCTACAGCCTGGGGCCGGTGGCTTACAGCTCGGTTTTCGGGGGCTTCTGTCAGCCAGGTCTTCTTCTCACTAGCTCCCTGAGTGGTATCAGTTTCCGAGGTAGGGAAAATGTTTGACATCTTCTCCATTCCTTCAAGACTGTCTTCATGGGCTTCATCGGGCTGGTTTTCTTTCACAGGGAGTAAAAAAGTAGTCTCTGGTAGGGAAAGGATAAACACTAGTTTCACCGTTATCTCCTTCTCAGGAGTGAGTTCAGGAGTTGGGATGACAAAGAGTGTGGCGGCGTGGGGGTCTTTCCTTCCTGTAAGATGGCTGCAATGAGATCTGATGCAGGAAGCACAGGCCAAGCAAACCATATAACTTGATGAAAGGCGGGGGCCAGGACGAGGGTTTGGTCTTCCCCTCATCCTTCGAAAGAGAATCTGCCTACAGAGATCCCTCTGGATTCTGGTCTTGGAGAGAGAATTGACGATTTTATTTACCACATCACTGGGGACAGTTCCACCTTTAACAATGCAGGGTTGAGTGTAATCTAAAGTCCATGGAATTTCTTTACCGGGTCCTGTCTCTTCACAATGATCAAAACTGCTTTTTCGCTGGAGTCTGGAGCCCAGTGTTAAAGCAGCTATGCTCCTCATGGAGTGCCTGGAGCTGAATAATGATTGACCTGAGACATTTGGTTTGGGATGAGCTGAGGAAAGATCTGTGGCTTTGTGTTTGTCACTTGGTGAAGTGGTGTCCTGCAATCTGGAGTGACACATTGCTGAGCTCGGGGTCCTGAAGTCATGATCAAGTGTTTTGGGCAACGGCAAACTCTTTGACTGCTGGACAGAGTGTGGTAAAGGTGACTTTCTTGGTTTTGAATTGGACAATGGTAATCTCAGAACACTGGAATTGGACCTCAATACAGGTGGTGTCTGAAGTCTGGGGTCAGGTAATGATGAGCTCAGAGTCATTTGACTGGGCTCCAAATGCTGGGCTTCAGGTGATGTCTGAAACAAGTAATTTATTTGAGATGTAGAGTTGAGAGATGGTGAGCTCAAGCATCTTTGATTGCGCTCTAACAAAGACGACCACAGGCTGTCCAATGAAGAGGGTTTCTGAGGCTTGGACTGGGGTAATGCTGAACTAAAGGCTCTTTGATTAGGTTCCAAAGATGATGATGTCCATAGGTAGTCTTGGGAAGGGGTTTCTTGATGATTGACATATAGTGATGAACTTGACACTCTTCGAATAGACTTCAGTGGAGGTGATGTCCAGAAAAGATCTAGGGAAGACGTATTCTGAGGTTTAGGAAAGGATAACTGTGAGCTCCAGTCTGTTTGACTGGGCTCTGGTGACAATGTCTTAATGAGGTCAAATGAAGATGTGTTCTGAGGTTTAGGGTGGGACAAAGGCGAGCTCAGGGCTTTCTTATTATTAGGCCACAAGGGAGTTCTCCGCTGGAGGTGTAGTGAAGGTGTGGCCTGATGTTTGGAGTGAGATAATGGTGATTTTAGAACCCCGTTATAGCAGTCCCCTGAAATTGTGTCCTGAGACGTGACAGAGGGCAATTCTGAGCATCTCTGTACCTTCTGGCTAGAGTTTGGTGGAGGCACTACAAGGTTATTACTATGGGATTGTACTCTGACCACAGATTGGTTATTGGGTTGATTTAATTTTTCATCTGTGTATTGACGTGCTAATGAGCTGGTTGCGGCCAGTTGGTAAGAGTGTTCTAAGGGCACGAAGTGTTGATCATAATATGCTAGGGGCACCATCTTGTGCTAGTCATAGAGGTCTTTCTGAAAGCAGTTGGCTTGCAGAGATGTTTCGGTAACTGATACAGTCTTTTAGCTGGATTCCATGGACAACAAATACTTCTAAACAAATAACTTAAGAAGTGTCAAACATCTGTCTTGTAACCTTTCTGTTAATTCCTAAATATTATAGGTGTCTCAAAATTGAGGTGTAAATGAGGTTGGAAAAAAAGTGTCACCAATTGAGATTCTTTTCTGTCTTCTCTTTAGCTTCCTAGAGTTTTTTCCTCTTAAGGAAATGACACCTGTTAACAAAACAGTGAAGAGTTTTCAGAAGAGGGCCTGATACGGATATTAATTTTCTCAAACAATTTATAGTGACAAAAGAACTACTCTGTGTGTAACTTTTGAGTAAAATTTTCTAAACATTCAGCTGCTCACATGTAAAACAGGTAAATATAATGTTTAATTTATTGGACTAAAGACTAAATAATATACCTAAAATGTATAACAGTCCCCAAGATATAGGAGATGCTCAGTAATAGGTAATAGCTATTTGGGGTATTCTTTCAATGATTGCTTTAGTTAAAAAAAAATTTGAGATAAATTTATTGCATGAAATAATAGACTCTTAAAGTAAAATGGAAGTTCTTCTTATATGCGAGTGTGCATGCTTAGTCACTCAGTCATGTCCCACTCTACCCCAAAATCTCCAAAACAATTCAAACACCAACATATAAGAATCAATAAAGTTATTGCTCCTTGTAAAGAAATCATCTTTTCTGCATCTTCTATCTTGGTCCCTAAACTAGTCATCTAATTCAAAATCTTTGAAATTATCCTGGACAGATTCACCTTCCAAAACCATCTAGATACCAGTATCTGTTGATTTTATCTCTTTCATATATTAATTCACCTTTTTTTCTATTCAATTCTACTATTTCTTATACTCTTTTTTCTATTCAATTCCACTTATTCTCCAGGCATATCTCATCTAAACTAATATATTAATTTTTTTTCTTTTCCCCATAACCTTTGTCACTCTCTTCCCTTTCCTCTGCCACAAATCCAAAAGCAAACTCTTGCTGGTGAGAGACAGTTACTCCTCACCCAAAGAACTTCATTTTGCTTCTGCCTGCATGAATAGGGCTTCCTGGTGGCTCAGCAGTCAAGAATCTGCCTGCCAAGGAAGGATATATGAGTTTGATGCCTGAGTGTGGAAGATCCCCTGAAGAAGGACATGGCAACCCATTCCAGTATTTTTGCCTGGAAAATCCCATGGACAGAGGAGCCTGGTGAACTACAGTCCATAGGGTCCCAAAATGTTGGACACCACTGAGCACGCAACATGCGTGAATAGTAACAACTAAGTTACTTGTGATTGCTGGATTTTGTGTGTTGTGTCTTAACATCAATACTTTAAAGAGGGGAGGGAACAGCACACCCTACTGCACATATATCATATTCTAACAAACATCTATATAGTAATATAGAGTAACACCATGATCTTGATGCATGGAAAGATTTCTTAAAACATAGAAAGCTATAACCATTAAAAATTGATAAACTAAAAATAAAAAATTCTCAGTCATCAAGAAATGCCATCAAAGAATGGGAAAAATAAATATTTGCAATGCATATATCTGAAAAAGAGACTCATATTCATTACAACTTCTGCAAGTTACTAAGATAAGATAAGCAGTGCAGTTAGAATGACAGGCAAAACATGGAATGAGCACTTCACAAAAGAGGCTATCCAAATACTAATGCAATATGAAAAGGTGCTCAGGATTGTTAGAAACCAGTCAAACGCATATTTAAACTACAGAGACATACTACTACACATTATCAGAATGTGACTAAAATAATATGAAAACTTACAAAGCTAATAACTGGTGATTACATAGCTTAATTAGTATATTTTATATATATGCATACATACATATGTATATATTATATTCCACTCTTAGATACATCTCAAGAGGCATGCAATGCATGAATATTGGCACCAAAATACATATACTAGGATATTCATGGAGTATTATTCCTAATAGCTTCAAACTAGAATTAACTTTCGACCAATAATAGAATATATAAGTAAATTGTGATATATTCATTCAATAAAATACCAAACAACAATGAAAATTAACAGAAAATCTAACATCATAGAACTACATGAATGAATATCACATAAAAAATACTGATTGAAAAGTATATGCACAAAAACTCATTTGTAATTTTATGTATAAAAGTACAAAATCAGTTCATACTAACTATGGTACTCATAGTCAAGATAATAGTACATCTGGGGGAAGTGGAGATTACACGGGAACACAAGGCTTCTAGGGTGGTGATAATGTTCTGTTTGTTGGCCTGGACGCTGACAGTGTAGGTGAATTCACTTTGTGATAATTGAGCTCTAACATTTACTCTATGTGTATTTTTCCATGTTTCCTAACTTCAATACAAGGTTTAAGAATACATAACCTGACGCTAATTTGAAAAGACACATCTGACACAAAATTTCACTGAAGAGTGAACCATTAGAGGATGAACCAAGTTCTGGCACCCAGATGCAATGAAACTTTAAAAAAAAGTGGGGAGGAGAAGAATGCAGTGTGGAAATCCTGCTATCATATGGAAAAGAATAAAGAAATTCAAAACAAATGGAACTAACAAGAATTTAAGACAAAGAAAAATTTGACAGAAAAATTACATTTCTGAATTTTTTCCACTTTCAAACCTACTCAGCAAATAAGATTTCTATTTCAAAAACCATGCTTTAACTAAAGCATATAAACATTAAATACAATTCAAAACATTGTGGAGATTTGAATGAAGCTATGAAGATGGGAAAAAATAATTATGACTTATGAAAGAATTAATTCTCAAATAATTTTTGCTCAAATTCTTCTTTCAGTTGAGTCCTTTCCAACTTTCAATGAAGATATATTTATAATTTATACAAACTTTGTCAGAGTATAATGGACATAGAAATATTATAAATTTGTTCTGTGAAACTGCTATATGTAAATCTGATATTAAAACATAACAAAAATAATTCAAAACTAAAATAAATAACACACACCATATGCAAAACTCCAAAATAAAATAAAACATTTCACATTTCAATAACATAATACTCTGCTAGCACCAACTTGATCTCATTCAAACGATGTAATGATTTATCATTAGGAAACATGTAATTTGTCATGCTCATAATTCACAAAAAAACTCAATATGTGTTCAAAAGTAATTTTATATAATTCAATGTCCATTTCTCAGAAAACTCAGTAAACTACTAAGAAAAAACTAATTAATGAAAAAAACTGCCAACTGAAATAAAAATCAAATCATTCAGTTGGCACTGAAATATGAGCTATTCCCACTATACATTGATAACAGACAAGCATATCCACTATCACCAAAAGTGAATATCCACTATCACTGAAAGTGTTCGTTGCTCAGTCGTGTCCGACTCTTTGTGACTGCATGGACTGTAGCCCGCCAGGCTCCTCTCTACATGGAATTCTCCAGGCAAAAATACTGGAGTGGGTAGCCATTTCCTTTTTCAGGGAATCTTCTTACTTAATTAAGTAGAAGAAAGAAAATTATAGAGACTGGAAACTAAATAAGATAGAAACAAGAAAAGCAAGAATATAAAAAGCTGGTTCTGTGAGATCAATGAAATAGAAAATATTTAACCAGATAGATCAGGGGAAGACAATGACATAAATTACAAATATCAGGAATGAGAGAGCTGGCATTACTATGGACCCTGTGCTGTGCTATGCTTAGTTGAGTCTGACTCTTTGCGACCCCATGGACTGTAGGCCACCAGGTTCCTCTGTCCATGGGATTCTCCAGGCAAGAACACTGGAGTGGGTTGCCATGCTCTCCTTCAGGGGATCTTCCCAACCAAGGGATCAGACCCAGGTCTCCTGCATTGCAGGTGGATTCTTTAGCCTCTGAGCCACCAGGGAAGCCCATCATGGACTCTGCAGATATCTAAAAAGATAAGAAGATATTTCTGTGAATAATATTACACCAATATACTAGATAACTCAGAGGAAAGGGGCATATTTCTTGAAATATGAAAATTGCCAAAGCTCACTCAAGAATAAATGGAAAACCTGAAGATCCCTATATCTACTAAATAAATTGAATTGGATCTTAAAACTTTCCCACAAAGAAAACACAAGACCTTTGTGGCTTCACCGGTGCATTCCACAAAACATTTAAGAAAAAGAATACCAATTCTGCAAACACTCTTCCAGAAAATTAAAAGGGAACAATTTTTTCCCAACTCATTCTGCAAGCTAGCTATTACCTGATACCAAATTCAAACAAAACCATTATTAGATTTTTAAAAACTACAGACCACTATTCTTCACATAGATGCAAGATTTCCAAACAAAATTTTATCAGGTCAAATCTAAAAATATGTCAAAAAGATAATACACTTTTCAAAATCCATGAACCCAATCTTATCATGAAAAGACATTTGACAAGTCCAAATTGAGGAAAACTCTACAAAATATTTCACCAACAGTCTTCAAATGTGCCAAAGTCAAGAAAAACAAGACAGTCAGAGGAATTATCACATACTGAAGAAATCTGAATATAGTGATTAAAGGCAACTTGGTATACTGGCCTGTATCCTGGGTCAGAAAGAAGATACTAAAGAAAAAAACTGGTGCAGTTCTATTATATTAAAACCTGTTCAGTTAATAATATTGTACCAATGTTGATTTTGTTGTTTTGATAAATATGCCATGATTATGTAAGATGTTAACACTATCAAAACCTAAGGTAAAGAGCTGAAATGCAAAGGAGCTAGAATACACAAAATAACTTTGAAAAAGAAGAAAGTTGGTAGGACAACATTAACTGATTTCAAGACATTAAAAAAGCAACAATAGTCAAAACTGTCTGGTATTGGCATAAAGGTAGACAAATGGATCAAGGGAAGAGAATAGAAAGTCCAGAAATAGACCCACACATATATTGATAGCTGATTTTTGAAAAAAAGTGTAAAGGTAATCCAGTGGAGAATAACACTTTCAAGTGACATTGTAATAATTAGGTATATACAACTGCAAAAAACAAACTCTGGTTCATACCTTACATTATACACAAAAATCAATTCATAAAGGGATCATAGATATAACATAAAACCTAAAACTACAAAAGCTCTGGAAAAAAAACTCACAGCAGAAAATCTTTGTGATTTTGGCATAGATTTTTAAATGTGTCACCAAAAGTAAAATTAATAAAAGAAAAAGTGAATAAATTGAATTTCACC